AAAAATCATTTTGTTTTTTTTAGGAATATATAAAGAATATTTCGCAAAATATAGGATGTTTTTGAAAATCTAAATAGAATTTTATGAATACAAATCCATCGAAATGTGGAATGTTGTGGAGGGGGGGGGGGGGGGGGTGTGCTATGTTCGACAGTCGAAGTCTTGCGGCTGACGATGATGATGATGATATAACTTACAATGAAAGTGTAACTGTAGTAACGATACATTAGATAATATAGTAAAGCTGTAACAAATATACTGGTCGCTGCAGTGCTATGTTTTGCGCGCTTACCATAAAAGGCTGCATCGCCACTTATCATCAGGTCGGATGACAGTCAAGTGCTGACCAGTTTTGAATTAAAAAAAATGGAAGGAATTGTAACTTTAACTATCGTTATGGACTTATTGTTCAAGAACATACATTTAAGAAATACAAAGACATGGTTCTATACAATGTCATCTAATACAGAACTAAGCAAACCTTGTACTAGGGTTACCATGTAACTGCTAAACATACATGTATATGTAAATAAAAAATATTATAGATATATAAATACAAGTGATTTTATACTGTCTGGCAATAGAAAAACACCATTATCGTCAAAATATTGTATTATTTTGCGGCTGTGGGGATCGAATCGAAACCATGTGATGCAAGAGACTTGTACACTATCACTTACTTGGAAATGTAATACATAAATATATGGATGTGACATGAGCTGATAGCTGCATAACGATTAAATCTCTTCCTTCAAATAATTTAGGTATCTGAAGTCATTACCATCATATTTTTCAATTATTAACACTCAATTTGTTTCCTTTGCTTCTTCACTTTTTTACATTCAACACTGCCAATTCCAATTGACATAACGACCGAAGTATTGATCGAATAACAAATTATCTGTTCTAAAAGATAATTCAAAGATATCTATCCCGCTGGTAATTCTATCTCTACACGTGTAAGTAGAGGTTATATACGTGCTTTTCTTCTGGGTAAAACCTGAATCAAGACCCATAAAAATAAAAATAAAATAGATTCTGATTACATTTGTAAACTACTGTTATTAAAATATGTAATGTTCGCTAAAATAAAGTTGATTATTAAATATTGAAACCTATTGCCAAATTCTTACAGTAATAACTTAAACATGTGTTAAACTTTTTGCGTTTTGTGTAAATCATATTAAAATCTCTGTATTATAAATCCAAATCACGAAATTTAATATGCTCCACCCAACGTAAATCAGATTCCACGGTGCTATATTTCAGTACATATGTTTTCGCAAGTAATTAACGGAGTAACGTACGTTGTTTAGGTGTATCTAAGCAAATTTTGGTTTAGGCTTAAGATTATGGGATCATTGCCCGGGGTCGCGTGAGGGAAGTGATGCGAATATTTAATTAAAAACACACGAGGTTTAGTTCATAAATCTGGGTGTTGTTTTAAAGCAGTTTAATATAATAAATTACAATATAATTAGATAACATCGTCAAGTGGACGCACAATAGTTGGCTTAGTCTGACAGATCCAAAAACAAAGATTCATTTAGTATGTTTGTGTAATGTTTTGATTTAGCAAAACAGACTCCAACGTTTGAAGGTGTCTAGTCTGTATCGATTTCTTTGGCTCTGCCTTAGATAAACTGATAAATCATCTCCTACGTTTTTGGATAAAGTCAATGTGTGGAAGAACTTTTTGATTAAATTTATAGGAATTGAAGAGAACGGGATATAGAAAGTATTTAGACAAAGTAGTATTTATACAATAATATTAATTGGGTTTAACTTGGCACCAAGTTAGAACCCATCCGACCGGGTTCCCGCCTTGACGTGGCGAAGGAGCTAAGTAGCCGTGGCTTGGTCACCCACGGCGAAGCTAAGAGGAACCCACACTGAGCCCGTGAGGGCCGCTCCGATTGGACTCATTGAGCCCACTCTGGATGCGTGCTGGAGGGTGTAGGGGACAGGTTGACGGTGGTGGGGGAGGTGCCACTCTCCATGTCTTCTGTTACCGAGGAAGAGTCGCGGGGGAAGAGGAGTGCCGGTATTGCGTTTGGCCGCACTCCCAATCCTCCGCAACTCGCCGGGGCTACACCGCTTATGCAGTCGTGACGTGACCACGGGGGGAGAGGAGTGTCGGTATTGCGACCCTCCGCGGCCGAAACCTGGTGAGCGGCGGAAACACAGACCAGGTCCACCCACCACCGCTGGGGGCTGGGAGGCTTGTTGCTTATTAGCACTGGCTCTCCTGGCTCCCATGGCCCCGGTCAGTGAACTCGGGGGAGTTCATTGGCCGTGAAAAGGGGACCGAGGGGCGAAGGAGCAGAAGGGAGTTGGTCCGCGGGAGGGGGCTGCTGAGGCGGCAAGCGTTGCCATATATATATGTATGTGGCATATATATATAATATCTCATATATATATCAGTTAGAGATAACTCTCAAGCTCAGTTAGAGACCTCGTTTATATCGCACGATTTTCCGCTTGGTTAACCGTACTTACTAACTTAAAATTTATTTCACAATGGAAATCTACTGTACTAAGGTAAAAGAGCAGGGTTTAAAAGAGAAAAGCTTTTTTCGATTTTCAGAAAGTAATTAATGATATGATATGCCGATATGCTATAGAAACTATTTGTATTTTTTCATCATACAATAATGTCAAACAATGACGTGTTTAGTCAAAATAATCATCGTTAAAGTCAGATACGCACTAACATAAATAAACTTATTTTTGTGTTTTTTTTAAAAAGGACATAAATATCAAAGAGACATTTTTGAACTGAAGCTTTGTGAAAATGTACTGCAAAACTTATGCCGCGACGAAGGAATGCAACGGCACGAGCCCTTAAGACAGCGTGCAAACAGTGAAGACATCGATCTGAACCATTTACTTGCAGCCTTAGATAAGCCTCATAATGAAGAAGAATTTTACACGGCAAGCGTACATTTTCTTAAAAAGCGCCTCCAAGAAAAATGCCGCAATCCGTCACCTATGCCGAAAACTACAAGAAGTTGCTGCAGCATCAGTGCGTTCCACAGAGATGTTTTCAAACTTCAGGATAACGCAACCAAGTCCAAATTTTGTTTTGACATACCAATTGGGCCCGAGCATTCCCTCGACATGAACAAATTGTTACCCTTCCCGAAACCAAAGTCGACTAAGGACAGTTTCCTGACACGGTTGACGAATACATTTCGTAAATACCGTCGTTGTTTCCAAGCTGTCAGTGACACTGAGCCAGACGAATGTGATGCTTCAAAAAATTATTCCAGCTTTAAGTTTCCGAGATGCGAGCGATTGACTAAGAACCTCGACTCTACACGCTTACTTGAAATCACAGAAGAGCTAACGCCGACGTCTTTGAAGAGCATCTCTGATTCGGTTCAGGGAAACAGTGAAGGTGACTTTTGTATGACCACGGATAAAGCAATCGTGCGATAAAAATATTTTTACAACTTATGTTTGACATGGTTCAAGCCTTTTTTGGATAGTCTTATTTTTTTTAAATAAAATTTATTTAAAATATGAAATTTATTTCCGTTTTTAACTTTTGGGAGTGTGCAAGTTTTAATGATTGATTATTATTATTACAAAACTTCTTAGTCTCCTTTTTTTGGTGTTGTTTAAATTGCAATAAAATACTCTTTTCACGGACATACATTTTGGAATTACGATTATTCCAAAATGTATATACAATGCAAGAGAAAACAACAACATTATTAAAGTCTAGCATTAAATCCATACTAATATTATAAATGCAAAATAACTCTGTCCGTCTGTCTCGCTTTCACTCCAAACTGAACCGATTTAAATGAAATTTGGTACACAGATAGTCTAGAGCCTGAGAAAGGGCAAAAAGGGCTTATATAGGACATATATATAGGACTAAGGAAGGTTTGAAAAAATTTAAGGGCTTCAAAGCGAGCGAAGCCGCGGGCGAAGAACTAGTAAAATGTATTTGTGGGAAATGTTCGAAATACAATTAAAAACATTTGTAACTTCCTTATATTTTTTCTTCTTTTCGTCGTGTCCGTCCTTTTATCTCCTTGCCATCCCCATTTTCTCTCTCTTTGTACTCGTCTCGCTCACACTCATCGTTCCTTTTTACATATTACTCTAACGTTCCATTCCCACGTACATTATACTATATGTGACGAGAATATGCAAATTTGCCAATTTTGAACAAAATATATATTTTCAAATCCACATTCAAAATAAATTTTATTTAAGTCAAGTACAACAAAATAAATTCCACTAATGTTCATCTCTACATTTATTATCAGATTTTGCATTTTACAATGTAACACGTCCTTAGGCTATATAATTTTAAAACTACCATTAGAAACAAATCATCATATTCTAGTTCCTTAGTTATTTCTAACTGCTTCTTCTTTGCAGTAACTTATCACAGGTTTTTGACGATTTTAGGACACCAATTCTATACAGCTGTGATGACTGAACATAATGACCTCCAACGTCGCGGTGGAGGATGGATGGAGCCATCGGGTACGCCATTGTACTATCGTAAATTATAATGATCATGCGTAGGAACGTTTTATTGGTTTATATTGTTGGTTTTTATTATTGAACTTTGATTTTGGTGCTACAAACGCCAGTGTTTGCTTGAATAACGGGAAATCTATAAAACAATGTTTAAACATTCAGGTCTAACAGTCTTGTTAATATTTCGACAGTATAGGTTTCATCCATTAAAGCCAACACAAAAAAATCGAATAAAATCCGATTCATTTATAAAAGAAAAATATCGTTTTATTTTAATTTCATCAATAAAATTTAAGATTACGATACCGCGTAAAGAACAATAGTATTTCACTATATACGAATATAACTAAATACAAATATAGGTATATACAGTAAAAGCTAACAACACTACATAATCCTTCAGCGTTATAATATTATCTAAACACTTCGTCCTCATAAGTGGTCTCGATTTCGGCTTGTAATCGAGTCTGTCAGTCTAGAATTTTCTCCCGCGTTCACGCGAAATTTATTTCTGCCTCCTTCAATTTTCTAACCACCTCTGGACATATCTCCTCCTCGCGAAACTTGTAGCCGCAAGCAACCATCTCCTTAGCCACCAGAAAGTTCTTCCTTAGCGACTCCAGCCAGATCCTGTACGAGTAGTCGGGCCAGGTCCCCCCGTACCGTTCCGGCAAGTGCTCTGGAAGCACGTGCTGGTGCAGGGAATTAAGGTCGTAGCCGTGGAAGTAGATTTTGGAGCGCATATCCGAGTTGAGGAAGGGCTTGAAAATGTTGTACATCTTGTCGACGAGCCACGAATGGTTGACGACGTGGATGGCGTGCGTCGTCGCGGGGAAGCACGACTGAAAATATTTTGTCGAATAAGTTTTTATATAGAATATATTAAAGATAAATTAACGAAACAAAATCAAGTCACTTAGATTTTGTTTTGCTAAAGAAATTGTCGAATTTCTAACAAAAAAGTAGTAAGTTCGTCAATGTTCTTTATCCCATGATAGTAAGAATATGAACAAGTTGTCGATAAGAATGGATCTGATTCGTCGAAATTATTTGACCTAACGTCACTCAGGTCTCCAGACGCCTAGACATAAGTCAATGACCCGTTTTTTGTTGTCGCTTCTGTTTACTGACGCTCTTCTTTATTCATTCATAAAACAAACTGTCAGTTCATTTGCAGCTTTACGACAAGCGCTTATCCTTTTAAGTGCGTATTTAGAGACATGTTTTAATAGTTTTATTCATTATTCCTGGGTTGATAACCCTGTTTCTATTAAAATATTTGTTAATCCTTTACCGATTAATATTAACACCTAAAACCTTAAAAATAAACTTGTTATACCAACCACTAAGAGTTTGACAATTTTAGCAGCAATGGAAGGCGTGACTTGCCAGGCGTGCTGTGTGCCAATATCTTCCAAGTCAAAAATTGCCAACCCGCCTAAAATTTGAGTTCTCTGTTCCAGCATGCCCAATTCTAAAGCCAAGATGGTGGCCTTAAACAAATCTTCTATCGGAATAGTCTTTGGATCCCAACAACCTGACAAAAATATGGTATAAATAAACAGTGTTTAGCGGAACCAAATAATATAGTATACACATACCATAATCGTTTATATATATATTCATATATTATCATTACCTATATAGGTATACAAAATTATTAAAAAAGTGACAATTCGTTAGTACAAATGAAGAAGGAAGTGCAAAGGTCTGGAGTGTCGCCAGACCGTTGTACAGAGAGGACGTGTGCTAACTTTAACGAAAAATATTTAATGAGTGCTCTGCTAATCTAATCCTAATCTGTAAAGAAACTTAACATAAATAACCCAAAATTGTGCGAACTGTGTTATGTGACAAAGAAGTGGTTCTTTGTTTTTAAGTGAATACACTGACATTCATCAGATGCATAAAAAACAGGCTCGTCCCTTTTTGGTGCGTCCGTTCATATACCAAAGTACAGTATTATAGTTTTGAGTTTTAAATGTCCTTCAGAATGTTAAATTTTTACAGGCGAACCAGTAGCTGTTTTAGAAGTATATACATTCTAACCAATCCCATTTTCGTAAAACTTTGATCCTCGGTGACTACCGTAGTTGTCTGGAGGATTTAAAAAACTTCCCTTCCACTGTAAACACCACTCCTCAATTATTCTGAATTTGAAACTGTCCTAGCCTGGATTCCAGGCCACGTGGGTATTCTGGGTAATGAAGCAACTGATTATGCCAAACAAGCTATTGTTATAGGCGACCCATTTCACTCTAGCATCCCAACCCGCGATCTGTGCTCTATGGCCAAACCTTATTTAATGGAAACTTGGGATAATTTATGGCAACAAACCAAAACTGTGAAAGGGAGATTCTATGCTAGTGCCATCCTAATATACCATCAAGGTCTTGGTTTTCCAAGTACAAGTCTTTTAGTAAATTAATTACTACTGTAATAATTCGCCTACGTTTAGGACATGTTTGCTCCCCAGTGTTTCTAGCTAAACTGCGCATACTAGACCACTCCTTATGTCAGTCAGTAAGCAGAGGCTAATGAACTCTTGTTTTTTTCATGTCCAAATCTTAAATTCCCACTTTACGATATACTTCCTTCAAACTTCCCCAGACCTGTTAATATCCCTTTCTTTTTAATACTTAATTACTCCCATGTTATCAAATTACTACATAAATTCCTCTGTATTAATGATATAAAACTTTAACATTCCCATTTCTCCTCCTTGTAATTGTTGTGTCGTCCTTAACATTTTAGTCATCCTTATGTTTTTTTTTTATTATTCACCTTCCAACATATTGCTTAGTTTCTGTTCAGGTATGTCAATTAATAACGTATGATGTTCTTAATACCGTAAAAGCCATCACTACTAAGAAATTTTATCAATGACAATCTGTTTTACTCAACCTTGACATTGGCAGAATCATCAAGCTATCAGCAGTAAAAAAAAAGTGAAGACAGTAGTGCCCAAAGCGTCGAAAACATCGTGAGGAAAGCTGTCTATTTTCGAAATAATAACAAAAAAAAAAGGTATTTCGAAAATATGTGAAGTCCGCCAATCCGCAGTGGGGCCGCGTGGTGGACTGTACTGAAGAGGCCTTTGCTCAGCAGTGGGACATTTATAGGTTGTTACTTTACTTTACTTTTTTTACCGACGACCAACACATCCAGACAGAAAAATCAAGATTATCTTTTCTCTACTTAAACGCTCGTAGCATTATATGGAAAACAATTCGAACAACATAAAAAAGCGACAGTTTTTGCAGTTTTAAGTCTCAATTATCTCAAAACATAATTGATAACTTTTCACCTTCGGTTTGAGACAAAAAGCTGTTAACTGTTTGACGACCATAACTTTATTTTATAATTGTATAATATTCTCATGTTAGTGGCATTGTATTACTTTAACCTCAATTCGTGTTTTTGTACTGATTAAACATCTAAGAATAAAACTATTTAAGTTATAAATAAAAATTATGAGAGAGAGAAACGTGAAAAGGCTAAAATCTCACCAACTCTATATATGAGCAATCTTCGGCCATTCTGGTCATGATATGGTGGCACGGTAATTATGTTGGCGTCACCAATATGGTGGAGGTTCAATGGGTAGATGTTTTCAAATAGTGTTGGATTTTCTTTTTTAAATCGGTAATAATTGACCATCTGTAATAAAGAATATTAGAATCCTAAGTTAACTCTCTTCAGATATTGAGGCGCCCATTTGGTCGGCAACGCATCTGCAACCCGTGAGGTCTCTTAGATATACATGAGCGGTGATAATCACTTAACATCAAGGGAACCACCCGTTTGCCTAAACCAATTTTTAAAATAAAAGAATAATATTTATAGACTAATACTTAAAGCCACAGTTTAATTATTTGTTTTAGCAATTTTTACTTCGAAATTAATGGTATGTAATATCAAATGTTCACGGGCTCTTGCACTATAACATTATCTATTATGGGGAATAATATTTTTTTTCTTATTAAACACAACGAAAAAGAATAAGTGTAAGCTTTTGACACTTCTTCACGAGATTTTAATTTTGGAATTATAATGAATAAAGCCATAAATTATTTGAAGATTTTTTATGTACGTAAATTGTTAGCTTAAATAAGTTCACTATTACCCTTATGTTAGGATCTAGATAAAACTAAAAAATTTAAATGTGTAAATCCATACCAGTTTATGCGCTCTTTGGGGTATAAAATTTCGCGCTCGCAAGAACCGTACTAAAAACTCGTCATCCATCCTGTGCGGGTTACACTCGCCGCGTTCTGAGAACATTTAATTGAATAAGAACAAATTCAACAATGTTTGATGTATACTAATTTATGTAAATTGTAAATTAAACCGTGAAAGAGGTTATTATAAGTTGAATTCGAAACACAATAACTATACTGTGTTCTGTCTGGGGTAGAGCACGTATCAACAGTGGTAAGGCCACGCAGCAGTCTTCGGCGTTGCACGAATAGGCTAGTTAATCTGGGGAAGCACCGCACTCTAACAGAAGATCGGCATATAGTGGAAGTGTTAACTTCTGCGTTTATCAAAAGGTTATTCTACATTAAAAGGTGACGACGCATCTGGAACCCTACGGATTTTGCAAAAATATCCATAGGCGGAGTTTATCACTTAACAGCACTTAAACCGCCAGGTCACTTGCCACCTTTTCACATAAAATAGATACTGTCACATGTTTTTATCAAAATTGTCCTTTTATTAAAAATAAAAGCACAATTTTTGTTGTTGACGGTTGATGACGTTTTTACATTTTATAAGTACAATACATTATAAACTGAGAATAGGCTCAAATAACGTTTTCTAATTATAACAATAAAAAATATTTTAAAGCACATTAATACACAATTTTTCAAAAAACTTAACTGGTTAAGATTAAAATTAAGATTTCGATATGCGATAACGCTTTGGTTGCCTGCCAATTTTGTTCCAGATTAATCTGTGAGATATAGGAGTACCTTCACAAAAACTGTCATAAGACCTCAATTAATTACATCTTTGAGTTCCTTCTACACGGATTTCTGCTAGAGTAACTTTATCCGGCATCGTTGAGTTTAATGCCCTTTCAAAGGAGTATTTCACTACTATTAAATATATAATCTATATGTTTCGAGATCCGTCAAATTCGGATATATTATGAAGGTTGAACTATTGAATCTAAATAATGAAATAAAGCGTATAAAACGTATCACAAAATTGAATACGCATTTCCCGGGATTTTCTATTTATGGATCTGGATTTATCTTTGACGTATCTAAAGAAATAAAACTAACTAAACTAAACATAAAATATCTAGAAAATATTCATAGATTTTTTTGTATTTTACTTGTTAAGTAACATGAAAACCTATGAATAATACAGATACTTCTAGAAATCACTACAACAAGACAAAGTGATCGCGCTGTCTCTCTGTCCCTATATATGCTTAGATCTTTAAAACTACACAACGGATTTTGAAGCGGTTTTATTTAATAGATAGAGTGATTCGTGAGGAAGGTTTATATGTATTATTTTATTTTATATGTTTTATTTTATATATATAATTCATGCATAATATAGTAGAGAAACACTGATAATTTTAAAGGTTTCTAATGCGATGTCGATAACAAACATTCAGCATTGCCCCCGTGCGAAGCCGGGGCGGGTCGCCAGTTTATTATAATTCGTTCATGCTCACCGTAGTGATGAAGGATACGCAAATAATTCAAGAAAGTTCAACAGAGGTTAACGACAAAGGAATACGCGGTGCTCGTAATACGTGTTTAATTACAGCTTATGTATGAAAAGCTTGGCTAATTTTGACTGTTGGTAAGTTCTCATATAAAACAAGTAAATAGTAATATAAAAAACTAAAAAAATCCGACTGCGTTTCTGTGTAATTTTTTTTATTTTGATATACCCAATGTCACTCTCACAGTAAATACGAATCTAACGACACTTCTCAAGCTAAAATCCAGATTATCCGTTCAGGCTGCAGAGCGTGCCAAACAATTACACATACATAAATACACACATACGTACTCTCGAAAAACAAAACCCTCCTTCTGGAGCAGTCGGGTTATTAAAGGAAAGTTCACCTTTGATTTGACACAATTTGAATTATTGTAAAGCCGACTTGAAACAATTCAACTTTTTCAATTGTTCGTTGTTCCGCACATGTTTTATATACTTATACAACTTTAACTGGAAACTAACAGATGCCACGGCGTTGTTAATGAGGCGATTTTAATTAACTTGTTATCGTCTTCTCGTTCTTTAAACAATTTATAACTGGCCAGTAATTAACCCTTTGGTGGTAAATTAAAATTCATAGGTAAATGGTAAGTACTACCTCAGTAACAAGCCTTTTTCTTAAACATGCATTTAGCTTTACCTCGATTCATGAACATGCTAGAATGTGGAGCAATTTTAAAAAAAGAATGACACCCCGATTTCTAGGTTTCCGTATCCAAAGGGTAAAACGGAACCCTAGTACTAAGTCTGTCTGTGTGTCTGTCCTTCTGTCACCTTTTTTTTTTTATTCAAAAACTGTCTAGCTCTTGACTGCCATCCCACCTGACTGGTAAGTGGCGATGCAGCCGTTGATGGTAAGCGCGCTAGCTCAGTAGAAACCTATTCACTCTTGCCTTGAAGACGCCAACGTTGTATTCGGAAAGACGGACGCAGGCAGGCTATTCCATTCCTTAGCTGTACGGATGATAAATGAAGAAGCGAATCGCTTTGTTCTTGTACGTGGAACGTCGACAGCATAAGGGTTGAGCCCAGCCGAACGCCTGGTTGTCCGATGATGGAAAGGGGCGGGAGGAATAAGATCATGTAACTCCAACGCACACTCTCCAAAATGTGTCCTGTAGAAAAACGAGAGGCTGGCGACTCTGTGCCTGTGCTCAAGGCTAGTGAGATTGGTTTTAACCAAGTTATGGTCACCAATGAGCCTTTCCTCACCTGCCTTTATCTCATGAACCGTGATAGTAAAACTGTTGAAATTTTCACAGATGATGTATTTCTGTGGGCACTATAACAACAAATTGTAAAAGACAGAATGAAATAAAAAATATTCATGGAGGCCCCCATACAAAAAACGCGAGGCGGTTGTTATAAATAATAGTACGGAACCCTTCGTGCACGAGTCCGACACGCACTTGGCCTGTTTTTAAACTCTTTTTAAGTTCATGGGTTACATGGGAGATCTAAATCCTTGTCGTTTCTGACCTGTGGCTTGGGATTTTTAGGTGTCGAAGTTTCGACTCAAGGGCACTGGTGGCTCGATTTGCGTATTTGCTAAGATATAGGCTATATATATATTTGATAAGATATATATCGTTGATGAGAACAACGTGTTCGATTCCCAGTGGGAAACATTATTCGTATGACGTGTATATTGTAACAGATTTTATTTGTTAAAAAAAATATAAGCCTACGTCTTGTTTTTTTTATAAAAAGTTAAATGTAGAGGAAAAAATATAATTCGCAGATGATATCGTTTATTCTGTACACAAGTATTAATCAAATTCAGTTATAAAGATATGGGGGAATTCAAATATTACGTAAGCGAACTTTAAATTATATTGTTAAATATGAAAATTTACATTTGAAAAATTTAAGTAGTGTTTTAAAAAAATATTAGACTTAAGAATTCATTGTCCATGAGACTATTTCATATTAAACATACTTATCGCTGTCATCAAATGATTAAGATAAAAAGGGTCATCGCCTAAGCATGGTAACGTAATATTAACGTCCCTATACCAATGTTATTTTCTGAGAATCGAAACGGACAATGGATTGGACTTCGTCATAAGTGGTTGGCCGAAAATTAATCATATGACTTTAGGTTACATTCGCACGATTTGAGGTAAAATTAAAATTTTATTAATATTTCACCGTCTTAATAAATAACTTCGATAAGAAACAACGACCTCATCTCAGAAGACTAAAATCAAATGACAATAGTCGAGGCCTATAAATGACAACGGAGAAAAACTGATGAAGAGACTTCTTCTGTTTTAGAACATGAGTATGTATAATTCGATCGTTTCATTTTGTGTAACATTTATGTCATATACCGTATATGCCATGCATAAACATTAGTTACATTTAATCAGACAAAGATTTTTCGATAATATATATCTATTTTTTATTTAAGTACCGGTACCATGGTTTAAGGTATAGGTAACAAGCGTTGCATATTGTAAAAAAATATACATAAATATTAGGAACAATAGCATAATGATAACAGTTATTTAAGATTATGGTTTATCAATATATTAAATATATATTGAGTGGCACGTTTTTCCAATAAAAGGTATGCAAATAAAGCTAAGAAACAAATTTATAATAATCAAAATGCTAATATGTATAAAACCTAAGAAATAATAATAAAAAAAAATTACGTCATAGTAAACGTTCGAATATTATTGGATTATTACTTTCAATTCTATGATAGAACTGAAGAATTTCAAAAAAGTTTTTCTCTCTTAATTTTTGAGCTAGAGTCACAGAAAGTGTATCAATATCAGCCTATTGCCGTCCACTGCTGAACGTAAGCCTCCCCCAAAGTGCGCCAACTATTCCGGTCCTGGGCAGCCTGAATCAATCCGCTGCCCGCCACCTTTCTTAAGTCGTCAGTCCATCCAGGAATGATTTCAGCAACTGCGGTCACCAACCCGCCTGCCAAGCGTGGTGACTAAGGCAGATTTCCCCCCAATGAAAACCAACTAGGAATGTGTAGTTTACCGCAATGATATAATTATAAAAAAATAGTATAAAATCATTGGTTTACCGTAAATCATCTCTTTCAGCTCATAGATGGCCTGTAGCCGGGTGTTGGGGTCCTCACCGCAATGCAACCGGGCATGCTCCAAAAGTTCAGGGAGGGGTTCCCCAAGTTCCAAATCGACGCTGTAGTCCGGCGTTGGCATTTTCTGCAAAGAAATTAAAAATAGCTCTCTGTTAATCGGTACGGAGTAGATAGAGACACCTAATGTATTATCATCGTTTCGTGTCACTTGTATAATACATATACTATGTAACTTGTTTAATATATATCATCATCATTTCAGCCTGCTTGAGTCCACTGCTGAACATTGGCCTCCCCCATAGACTGCCATGAAGTACTATCCTGTGCCACCTGCATCCATGGACTTCCCGCACATTTGCACAGATCGTCACTCCATCTGGTGAGGGGTCGTCCTACACTGCGATGGCCAGTACCAGGCTGCCACTCGAGAACCTTTCTTCCCCAGCGGTTATCGGTTCTACGAGCTATATGGCCGGCCCATCGCCACTTCAGCTTGCTATTCCTCTGAGCTATGTCGGTTACCTTTGTTCTACTGCGGATGTCCTCGAACATGATGGCACAGATTGCGAGCGCATGGGAAATTAAAAACCGTTCTACGGAATATGCATTGAAAAAAAGTTGATTCGCAAGAAGCATGATTCGGTCTCCGAGCACTCGTTTTTAATTTCCTACACTCTGTACACCATAGTTCAAAAACTGATAAAATTCTAAATTGAAATTTTAGGACCTGTGCGATTTACAAAGCGGTAAGAAAAAAACTGGAGCAAAAATTTGTGAAACTATTAAAAATTAGATCGAGTATATAATCAACTCGCAGAGGGCTATCAGAGCAGAGGATGAAGATGGACCTTTATCCAGCTATGGGCTATGGTTACAGCTGTTACTAAGATCCCCACGTCTACCAAACTATTACTGCTTTTTCGTCACATCAATCACTTAAAAAAGAAAATGAAAGATATGTGCAAACAACGAGTTATGTTTATGGACTTCTCTCCTGCTGACCAGACGCGTTATTTGCGTGTACACAGAAGATGCACCAACATGCTATCTCCTGTATTTTCAATGGAGAAATAATAGAATGGAGTAAATGATAATAGCACGGTATGAAGAAGCGGCGAAGAAATTACCATGTGTAATACATTTGGCCTGTACTTAACTTTAAGGGAATTTTTCAGATACCATCAACAATAAAGCAGTCATAAAAATAAAAAAAAAAGATTTAAAAAAATTTCCAACTGTGTGAACAAGAACCAATAGTGTAGGTGCAAAATTATTAATTACACTTTTATCTGTTTACGTTCATTTATGAAACAGGATCTTTACCTTTGTGCTTTAATCAACTTTACTAACAGTACAAAATCTTTGTGAATTTACCAACTAGTAAATTATCTTACCTTAACGATGTAAGGTAATCCAATTTGTGATTTAAGCCTGTACCTGTTACCATTAAACCCGTCGCAGGTCATTGACTCGAATTGTAAAATCTTAATTGTGTTTTCAGAGGCACTACTAAATAGCAAAGATATACCTATGACATTAATAAATATGTTTATCAAAAACTGTTTTAATTGTTACTATCAAATATCTGTTTTAATTATTTCTTGAACCATAATAAGTAAAATTTAAAAAAAAAAAAAAAAATTAAATATCAACCGTGGTTCCGAAAGTTTGAGCTTAACTAAAAATGAGGCTATTGCATTTCTGCATTTATAACAAACAGAAAGGTAATTTCCACGTGAACCTCCTTGAAATAATTTCTGGCCCTCTACAATCACTTATTTATTAACTTTTATGTCAGTGTGTCGTTTGGATTTCAACAATGAATGGACCGCGAAAAAAAAAAAAGAAAAAATTAGTGATACCACCTTACTACCGACGATTCTTTGATTTACCTGTTGACTTTTAACGAAGCAACAATCCGCGCAACGGGAGTTTGATAGACGACTTACATGAGAGGAGATAGAATTTGGACGTATTATGGAGCTAATGTCAAGTACCTATCGCTAGTAACTAAATCTATCTGTCGATTGAATATTGAAACCGGTCGTTTCCCTAAATTTTGCCCCGGTAAATGGTGGTTTACTTTGTCGTACTTTTGAGAGAATTGGTGTCGATATACAAGGGGACCTCAGAGCATCAGTTTTTACTAAGAGTACTTGGCCTTTTCTTTTACTACCGCTCGGCTATTTTAATGGATTCTTCATCCACTAGAGATTTGTAATTTTTACATGTACTCCATTTATTATCTACATTACAGATTTTATCTCGTTCGATGTTTTTATTTCTGATTTGTTTCTTTTAAACGATTTGTAGTAGAAAAGTTTAGTTCCTGATAAGGTAATGGATAATTTCATATGATTGATTTTTTTCTTTCTGCAAAATTGCTTCTACTAAATGTTTTGAAATTTCGTTTAGTCTATATTCATTTTTATAAATTTATTTTAATTATAATATATATTATAAGGAAAGAATTTAGTAAAGCACTTTAATTACCTAACAAACTATTATTCAAATTTATACCTATAGTATATTGCGAACTAACAGGCAATTATTAAAAAAAAAAAATTCGAGACACTAGATTTCCAGAACCATAAGTAAACATGTGGTTCATCTTGAGAAACAATATCAAGGATATTCTCTTAATCTTTGCATTACTTCTCTTAAACTTTGCATAACAAAATCAATTAATTTGGGTTAAAGATATTTCTTTGCTTGACTCCTGTCCTCGGCATTGCAACGAAGGTCTATAAGATAAGAACTCGCGTCACTTAAATATTTCTTAAGCATTATCTAAGATAACTGTTTGTATGTCTAAACTTATTGAGGTGAATAACATGATCCCAGTAGTGCTTGCTAAAACAAACATTTCATCATCAACAAACTATTAATATGTGACGTCTATAATGAAAATCTGTATATAATCTTTGAAAATCTATAATAACTCCTATTTGAATTAAAAAGTTGCCTCAAACATTTGTATTAATTACCTATTTACATAGTGATATTTCCTTTAAAATTTTGATCTAAGCAAGCGTATATAATTTATGATCAGGTGTTTTACGCCGTCTTTCTTTTGCGGCGCGTATTAAGATCGGTTCTTTTTTTTCATTTCAAGGTTAAGTATTATAACGATTAAACGAAAATTATGCAATTTTTTTTGTAAGTCTGTTGAAACATGGTTATTCAATTATTCAAACTCGATAAATAACAAACTGTATGTGTATATACATACACGAGTATGTATACTTCCCACCGTTAGCTAATGGTGTCATCTGAACAAAATCTTCCTCGTGACGCCAATGCACATAGATAAATATCATATGTACATATCTTCGAAATGTGTTCTTTAATTATTTCAAATAAAATGCAGATTTCATCAATAAATGAAACTTAAACTGCCGTCAAGTTCACTTATAAATTCATTGGATCCGGGAATCGGGATATGAACAGGATCGAATATTCAGTCACTATAAATAATATTGTCGTAAATGGCATTTGATATGAAAAAAATGTAGATTGTGTCTATGCACAAAATGTAAAATTTAGTATTAATAATAAACACTATAGCAATTGATGTTAAAGAATTAACCATTTACGATATTTACAACTTTTATTTCAAGTTTAAAAGAACACTACGAAGTACGAAGCGGTATTTCCGATAAAAATATGTAGATATCGAACAAGTCAAATAACTTCACTATCATATTTTGATTATAATGTAATAAATATAATAAAGCACTATAATTCTTGTAGTGCGTTTGGAAAAAAATATGAGTTATTTTTTTTAATTCAAGTAAGCTTCTTCATTAGTCTTTTTTATGGAATGAATTAGAGAAAGTTTTTAAAATATTTAAAAGTAGGTTAAGAAGTTTGTTCCAATAATAATATGAATAATATTAAACAAGAGAAGAGACTATCCCCAACAAGGAATGATTGCAATCTATGTACAAAAGAAATTTTTAACATGTATGAGTTTTGTAGCTGACATATTTAATGTTCGGCTAAATCGAGATATGTAGATTTAACCGAATACTACTCACTCATTTCTACTCACCAAAAAACCTTCAAAATTGCTTAGGTGGGGCAAGCCTACAAACGACGTTCCTGCTCAATAATTAGCAATATTTAAAAATAAGTTTGTTCAAATATCTTTAAAAAATATTTTTTAAGATAAAAAATAAAGTAAAGTAACAGCCTAGACATGTCCCACTGCTGGGCAAAGGCCTCCTCTATACAGAGGGTATCAAGGCATAGTCCACCACGCGGCCTCACTGCGGATTGGCGGACTTCACACATCTTCGAAATATTTTTTTGTTATTATTTCGAAAATATGCAGGTTTCCACACGATGTTTTCCTTCACCGCGGAGCACGTGATAAGACAACACTTAAAGTCCAAAAAACTTCATTGGTGCCGGCACCGGGGATCGAACTCAGGTTGCTCGAGTATATTGAATTAAAGGCGAGCGCCCGGACACTGAGCTATCACGGCTCAATTTTTTAAGATATTTGAACAAAATTAATTTCAAACAATATCTTAAAAAAAATTTTTTTTTAATCTCTAATTCTGTTACCAGCCTTAATTTGCTTAATACATTAGAATCGGAATTCAATAAATGCTGTCATTTATTTCGGTTTAATGCTACAAATAAATTTTACATTAATTAACCCAAGTTTCATTTTTAAGAGAGAGATATGTGCAACAATTACTTTCTGAATATAAAAATAAAACTGAAAAGTATTATACACAAAGATCGCAAGGGATGTTTGTACAACTGCAACTATTTTCACAGAAGTCACTGTTAGCTAAAGCTTATGATTGGTAACCATTTAAATAATATGTAGGAAAGCGGTGGCTAATCTATGGTTAAGTCAAGGTGACAATCAAGTCTATCATTGCTGATACTTTTTAAGGTAAAAGATGATTTGCCTATTATACGTATCTCAAGGGTGACGAACACGACGTGTGATCTTTAAGCATTTTATTTGGATAGACTCTCTTGAAGGCCTATTATGGAGCAGTACAAAAACTATGCTCTTATGAATGGAAATTTAAAGATCAACCGGAAATTAGCTAAGAAGAATATGTTCTCGAATAAGATGAATTTATTTATTTATTTATTTAT